GCGACTTCATGAAATGGATGACGTTAGCAAGGGAGGTAGAGTAACGACCGAGCCGAGGTATAGTGGCTGCCTTAGTTAGTTATTGCCGTGAGGTGTACTCGCAAGAAGTCCTTGAATCATAGAAACCGGTGCCCGCCCTCAGCGCCGTTCTTCCACCCTCGAGCCCGTCAGTAAAATTGGTGATTAACTTATCCCTCCTACCAAAAATGGACTTGCACATTAGCAGTGTTTAAGACCGGAGCATATATCAGATCCTGGCACTGCTCTTGCGGATTTCTCGTTCCAACATCCGTTTTCTTCATTACAATCTCAAATTCTGTTCATTTATAAGTCAAAACCCATAAAAACTAAAAAGCGGGCAGGGATGGGGACTTCAGCTCGGGTACGGATAGTGACTCCGATTCGTAGTTCTTCCAGAACACCTCGTTTAACCCCCCACCCCTCTCCCCTCCCCATCGTATCCTTCTGCTCATCTACGAGCTTGTTTCTGCTAGCTTCTGCCCCAAATAGCTTATCCAACCTGTTTGTCAGAATCCGGGCAATTACGAAATCTCGCTTCGGTCGCTCAAAATGCACTCGGTTGTAGGTTTAAGTAGGAGTTGCGAAAAGCGTAGCCATACATAATAGTAGACACTAAATTTCCTCTGGAAAGGTCGGGAATACAATCTCAGTTTCGCTTTCTTTTAGCATTCGGTTGCTTGCTGATTGTTGTAGCCCCGCAAAACCCCTTCCTCTTCTAGTGGCGGCCTCTGTTTCCAGTTCCTACCTCCAAACAAGTCCTCTGCCCTTTTCGGGTCGAATCTCGGCCCTTCCCTGTGTTATGCCTGCTGAGGCCCAGGCGCTCACCAGAGGTACCCCTCTCCCTGGCACACTCCCTTCCTCGCTATTCTATGAAACAAATCGCTGGCCGCCTGCAAAATTTGTGCCTAGTATTGCATGTGTACAAAGGTGGACCCTTTTCTCCCCCTGTCCTCCTCCTCTCCCACTTCCCTATTGTCTGAGAGAAGGGGGAGGGCGTATCGAACAGGGTTTTCTACAGTAAAACAGCTGCTGCTTGAATCTCTGGGACACGAATCATTCCCCCCTCCCTCCGTGGATCCGCCTATGTATGTGTGTGCGTGTGTTTAAGTTGCAGACGCGTGGTAGTCCGTCTTTTTTATTGTGTAACGATTTAGTGCCGCATTAGTGAGTGGCTTTCTTGCTTATTCCATAACAGTTCGTTTCCTTTGCTTCACTACATGTAGCTTCATTTCGCATTTCTTATGCGTTTTATGCTGTGCAACAGCTCCACAAAACGCATGTTATCACCGGGTTGTGTGTGTGTGTGTGTGCATGTGCATATGTGTGTGTGTGTGTGTCTGATGCATTTAGTTCGCAACTTTCGACTTGGGAACCACAAAAGCTCGGAAGCTGAAATTTTAGGGGAACGTTCCTCGCCGACATGTGACCCCGTAAATTAAGTTTCAGCCTCCCCGTACCTCTGAGTGCCATGTACTGTCCCGTGAAAGTTTTGACAGGCAAAGTTGTGTTCAACAACTTATGAAAGCTTGGAAAAGTTTGGTGAAGGAACTCTGCGAAAGTTTTGGCAAAGAAAGTTATCATTTCGGGAACCATGAAAGCTAGAGGGCTGAAATTTTACGGCAATGTCCTCTGCCAACATACAGAAATTTAAATTCAGCCTTCCTGCGCGCTCGAGTGTCACATACGGCTCAGTGAAAGTTTTGGCGCGAAAATTATTATATCGCGAATCACAAAAGTCCCCTACCCATGTATGACCCAGCAGATTTGGAATAAGCCCTCCTTACGCGCTCGGATATCACGTACGGTCCCGTGAGAGTTTTGGCCGATAAAATAATTACTATTTCAAGAACCACGAAAACTGAGGGACTAAACTTTTATGGAATTGTCCCCTGCGCAAGTATATCTTCGTAGCTTTAAATTCAACTTCCCTCTAGGTCTGAGTACCACGTACGACCCTGTGAAAGTTTTAACGGGAAAAAATTATGTTGCAAATCATGATGGCTGGAAAGCTGAAATTTTACGGTATTGTTCCCTGCCCATGTACGACGCTCCAAATTCAAATTCGGTTTTCACGTGCGCCTGGGTTCAACGTCCCTGCGAATTTTTTGGCTGGAAAAATTATTACCCGGAAATCACAAGAGGAGAGAGGCTGAAAATTTCAGGAAAATGTTTTCTGCCTGTGCAGGGCCGCATAAACTCAGATTTAATTCCCAACTTTTAGGTGGTCGGACACAAATTTGAGGCGGAACTGTGCAAAACGCATGGTCACACCGGCTACCTTGGTGTTCGCCGCCACTTTATTCTCTTCTTTTTTTGCATTTTTCCCCTCCCTAAAATATGCGTTTTTTCAGGATTCGCTCTATGGGTGCACGATGCTGAAAAGGCCTACGATTATCAGCTGCTGCTCGAATTTGGGTCTTCTGTTCAGCAATGAAATTTTCGTTCGTTCTATGTTTGCTCCAGGCGTCTCTGCCCGTGCTTCTGCTCCATCTTGCTGTGGGCGCCGCATCGCGATCAGTTAATGCTTCGAGTCTGGTAAGTTCTTCGTTTACTTTTCCTAGTGTACTTGGAACTCGTCGTTCAGCTACTTTTGGTAATCCAGCCCTACAAGTATACATCAGGCATTTGCTCCAATTTCTTATGCCTTTTTTGCATCTATGCAAAGCAAAAATCACATATTGCTAAGAAGCGGTCTGTGTGTGTGTGTGTGTGTCTGTGTGTATTTGTACCGTTCTTCATCTCAAGATCTATATAATTGGCCAACGCACGGGCTGCCCTTGCGAAGATGCGTTTTTTGCATAGCTCCCAGCAGGTTTTTGTCGCTAACGACAATGTTTTTACCGGCAGATGCTTCTAGCTAAAAGAATTTCAGACTTGACGCCAAGACTCTCAGGAAACATCCCTTCAAAATTCCAGTCTTCAAGCTTCTCAGTTTCCCGAGTGATGAACTTACCCGAAAAAAAACTTTCACGGGACCGTGCATGGGTTATACGCATACTCGGGGGCTGGGTATGAGCTCAATGAGACCTAGATGGACGGGGAATATCCTCTTAAAATTTCAGCCTTCCAACATTTCTGGTTCTCGAGTTAGCAGCTTACCCGTAAAAAACTTTGGTGGACTTTTATTTGAGTACCACGCGGGTAAGACCGCCCATTTTGGGGCTGATGGCCCGTACGTGCGTGCAGATTAAGCCCCCAAAATTTCGGCTATGTAGCTTTTATAGGTCTTGAGATGAAAAATCGGTACAGACGCACACACAGACACAAGACCCACAGACACACGGACATACAGACAACTTCTCATCAATATGCGTTTTCTGCATTGCATAGCTGCAAAAAATGCATAAAAAGCTACAGGGCTGAAACTTTGAGTACTTAATCTACATGCATGTACACACCCCATTCCCAAAATGGGCGCTCTTATCTGCGTGGTACCCACGTGCGGGCCAGCCAAAGTTTTT